TAGCCAAAAATGCCGACTTTACCTATATTTTCTTCAAAGACTTAGGCTCCTAAAACAGCGCAAATTAACTGTTCGTATTTAGTAGTTTTACGAGACTATAGATAATATACATGAAAGGTGTTCACCAAATCTTGTTTCAGGTGATGAAGAACTCTTAGTTGAATTTTTCCACATTGATATTAGACGACCCTATGTTTCCATTAAATTTCTCTTGAGAAAATGAGGTGGACATATCTCATATATATATGAAGAGTAACTGGGTTTAAATAAATCTCCTGAGATAACATTAGTATTTGGTCAATCTCGCAGGAAGAGGACGGTTGAATCTCGTTGTACTGCAGCCGTTTGGCTTTCACACGACGTTGAGATTGACGCAGTCCACGAGACCTCCCGCTTTCCAGATGCAAACGGGCTGAGCTTTCGTCCATCATATGATGGACATCATCAGAGCTGGGACTCACTCTTGTAAAATTATCAAGATGACACTAAGATCGACCTTCGAATCTCTTCTTCATACACTTGCATACGAAATTAAGGTCTCTAAAATACACCTCATATAACTCAAAGGAATACTTTCTGGGAACCATTTTTGCAACAGTACTGAAAGGAAGAAGGCGGTTGATGACTGTCTATGGGGGCAAGATAAAATTAATTTTTCACCAGAAATAGCTGCAATGGCGAATCAATGGCAGGAATGTAGAATAAGCTATTTCTGTATTTCTAATGATAAATCTCATAAAAAACATAAACAGAGGGTTGCTAGACACGAATAGGACCAAATTTATAGTTAATATTAAAGTGGATTAAGGTTTCCGTGCCGGGTGGCCTACAATAGCCCGAGCACACATTTGCAAAATGGCTGTGGCAGAATTAATTTGGCGAAAATTCCGTCTTCGCATAGTCGTCTTAGTTGCTAAAAGAAACCCTCTGTCTCGGTCCGCTTTGGTGCCGTGTGAACTGAGTTTGTAAACTAGGACCACTTTAGAGCGGTTTAAATAACAGAAGGCCTGAGAGTTGGGGTTTGTCACAGAAACGCAATTAAAGTACCTCATCCTGTCGCCGAAATTCACGTAGTCCCGCTAGGATGAAAAAACTCTTTAGGAGACAAGGCAAAGTGAAATCCTAAGGTATAGTTAGGTTCTCTACTGATTCAATTAAGGAAAGCTCATCTAGAATTTTTTGTATCACGCAAACGACCCATGACAACTTTAGCTTTTATAGAAGATATTTGATCACGATTTCGCAATTTCTTCATATTGGTAGGAAGACTTAGAGCAACGCAGCTAGTCCGGAGTATATTGTATGCAGAATAATTTCCAAAGTCGGAACGTGGACGTGGTACATTCACAGACGTTTCGCCGGCATCGTCAGTGACCTTTGCCAATCTTAGCACCATACTAAAACTCGTCAAAGGGACAAGTGAAGCCGATCCTTTGACCAAACGTGTCCTAAACAGTTGTGGCATCTCTTCTTCTGTCGGGCTATTCACCCATCCTATATACTTGTATCATGCTTTCATTATCACTATTTTTCCTTGCTTAGTAAAAGGTAGTGTGGTGTGCCCTTTTGAGCGGCTTTCATGAGAACCCTCCACACTCCACGCTGGTGTTCACACCCCCCTTCACCCTCGTACTGGGAATGTTGATCAGAGTCTGCCATATTGTTACGCAGTCCTCCTTCCCTAGGTCTCATCACAGTCTCCCTCCTGCCCTTAGAATCCGTCTGCTATCGCCCTGGTTACAGTATCTCACTCGAGCCCTGACACCCCATCTGTGCTACTCGAGGCCTCATTTCTCACACTTGCGTCTGGGATTCTAACTCGAGTCTAAATCCCTCAGTAATTGTAATGGTCAAGCCTTTGCTACATGGACAACGTGACTGCTTGCTTTGATTAGGTGCGAGGTTGAACCACAACATTTGTGTGTTGGCCCACAACAGACTAAGACATAGCAAGTCATAGACTTGGTATTGGGGATAGAAACAGGATAGATGAGGCGGCGACAGGAGCTAGTTGGCTGACAGTATGTTTTATAAGAGACGTGGTCCATGTAGCAAAGACTTGACTATGAAACTTACTCAGGCGTTTAGCCTCGAGTTAGTCACTCAGACGCAGATTGTGGGAAATAATGCCTCGAGTAGCACACATGTGGTGGCAGAGGTCAAGTGAAATGTTTGAACCAGGGCGATAGCAGACGGATTTTTTGGGGCAAGAGGGAGACTGTGTAACAATATGGCCGACTCTGATCAACATTCCAAGCACAAGGGTGAAGGGGGGGCGGTGAGAACGCCAGTGTGGAGGGTTCCCATGAATGTCGCTCAAAGGGGCACACCACACTACATCTAAATAAGCACGGTAAAAATAGTAACAGTGACGGTGTGATAGAAGGATTTAGGTAAATGTGAATCGCCAAGGGGACAACTGTTTAGCACACATTTGGTCAAAGGATCGGCTTCCCTTGTCTCTTTGACGAGTTGTAGTATGGTGATAATAATGGCGATACTCACTGACGATGCCGACTACGATGCTGACGAAACGTCTGGGAATATACCACGTCCACGGTCCTATTCTGGATATGATGATGCATACAATGGACTCCGGGCTAGGTGCGTCCCTCTGACTTTTCCTACCAATATGATCAAGTTGCAAAAGCGAGGTCAAACAACTGCTATACAACGAAAGGAGACTACGACCACACAAAAGGCCACACCATCTTTGTCTTCATATCTTCGATTTAGCTTTTATAGTAATGGTTTAATTTTATTATCGCAACTGGAATTTATTGCCAGGTTAACCTAGATAAACGCAACTTGCCCGGAGTGCATAGTGTCCCCGATAATTTCCAGATTCGGATAGTAGGCTTGGTACATTCCCAGACGTTCAAAAAGCATCGTAGTTGGCATCAAAAGTAAGCCTTGCCTTTCTTAGCATCACAATATAACTTGTCAAAGAAACGAGTAAAGTCGAAACTGTAATCAATCGTCTGCTGAACAATTGTGGTATCTCTCTTGTCCTATATCATCGTATCATCCATTCACTATCGGAATTTCATACTCGTTTTTACAAACCAAGTTCAGGTGAAGGTATGAAGACTAAGATGGTGTGGCGAAAGAAGCACACCACACTTCATCGAAATGAGCACGGTACAAATTGTAACAGTAAAGGTGTGATAGGAGGATATAGGAAATGTAAATAGGTCAGGGCT